AAAGGAGCCATAGGACTAAACACATTTCCCAGGCCTAACAGAGAGGCCCATCACTGCATTTCCCCCTCAGTACTTTTACTAGTGACTGGAGAATGCAAAGGTTTCTCTGTGGACATGTACAAGAACGTGGCAGAAAAAAAAAATACCCACTCTTGTTCTTTCTCTCCAAGACCAACAAATTACTGATCAGCTGGGTGACATGCACAGCGAGCACAGCTATGCTCTTTGGAAAAGTGTGTAAGAGCCCACAGTTTCTGGGTTTGATGAATTCTACATGGTGGGGAGCAGTGTGTTTGTTCTATGATTCTGTGTAATTTTCTACTTATGATGTATCTGTGTGCATACTAAGATCTGTATTATTTAGCTAGCTATGATGTCACCAAATCATTTATTCTTGTAGTAACAAGATTCCCAAAGTAGGACAACACCTAGTTGTTTTGCTAAAATGTAGCCAACTGATAACTTGGTAAAACACATGCAGAGTAAAAATATGCCCAATGGAAACCGAGCATTGCAACAGAAACGATCCTGATTTAACAAAACCCACCTTATACCACAAGGGACCCTACTGTAGTCCCTTAAGAACATGGGAAGTAGCATGTCTTACGCAGTTTCTGATTGACAAATCTATACTTCTCTATACTAACCTATACTAATCTATCAATTATTTTTATGAAAAAACTCACATGTTATTTCAGTGCAAGTAGTCTATCTCTACATGAGCATTTCTCAATTTCAGCTCAGGGGGCGGTTAGAATAGAGGCAAGGAGCCTCTCGTCTAAGGGTAAGACTTAAGGCAAGGTGCCATAAATAGACATCAAAATATACCTAAAACTTCTGCATACCCAAAGAAGGAAAGAAAATAAAATAGGAGAAAATAAAGCGGCAAATCAGAATCCAGTGTGCAGCCTTATCTTCGTTTTTCTAGTAGTCAAAAATTATTTTAGTACTTGCATTAATTTTTTTCCAAACAATACTAGCTGAACATTTTATTTACAAAATTAAGAATGAACACAGAAAAGGAATTCCAACTGAAAGTGCTATTTGGCACTATCTCTAGTTGTCTACAGTTACTTAGCACAACAAAGACTTAACTTTTATACTTTCCACCATGGAAAGAAGGTTATATTCGGATCATTTAATCTAACAAATGCAGAATACTTAGTACTACCATTCAAAACATTGGTACAGTTAACGTTTTAAAAATATACCGCAGCCCCATGTATTCTGAAGTTGCAAAGTCATTACATTTAAATATTTTCTTTCCTAATATGTTCTCAAGACATTCCAAAAACTTTCTCAACGATGAAGATTTTAAGATGTATTTCATTTTTTGAATCACAGCAGGGTAGGGATCATTGTAATTTAAAAACAACAAAAAAGTCTGATCATCATCAAGCTACAATACATACACCAAGGTTGATTTTGGACAAAATCATTAAAACTAATTTTGCATGATGAAGTACACATAAGTAATTATCTTTACCTTTTCCGAGTACAGATCTGGGAAGGAGGAGAAACACTGTAACTGTTACAATTCTATTCACATTTCCATTGTCTTTGTTATGTTAGTCTATCATGAAAAGCTATTTGCATTATGTAAAAGGCAAGATGGGCTAGTCAGGAATTCAGTTTCCACTGCGATAAGACTTAATACTGTGCCAGAGTGTATGATCTACATTACCAAAGATAATACAAGTCTATATCAACCTACTGCAGAACACTGCTGATGAAAACAAGCACAGCTCTAAAGATAGAAAAGCTGAATTGTTCCAAACAAAAGAGACCGCTCGTTACTTCCTGAAGTCCATTAGTGCTTGCATCCTGCGGACGTGAACAGGGCAGAATCAGAAATGGAGCACTCAACATGGTTTCGCCAGAAGTTTGGCATAACTCTGTCACCTTTCTTAGCATCCTTTAATTTGGAAAGCCAACCAGGAGGCAGCATAATTTGGCATGAGGGCCTGGAGGGCAGGCAAACAGACAGAACATACTTTTCAAGCGCTCTGGTCCAAAGCTAATCAGGAGCCAAGATATATATGTGGCACATTGGTTCAAGGTGCGTAGGGAGGTTCACAGGCTAGACTGTAAAAAAAGGCAGTTATTTGAGCACAAGGCTAAATCCAAGCCATGGATGAGCAATGGGTCATCTGCTGTGACTGTGCAAAATATCAGTGAACCACACAATCCAGTCTAGAGAACTGGTGAAGAAGAACAGATGGAGATTTTAAAAGAAAAAAAGAAAATCATCGATGAAACAAGGATTCCAATTATTACTTTCAAAGAGTGTCAGACTTTCTAGCAACATGTATAGCACTATATTTGTGTCTGAATTGCGTGGTGGAATCATTTAAAAACTCTGCTTCTAGAAGCCAAAGCTGTGGAATTCAAAACTATCTAATATCTGAAAAACAAACACTTTTGCAGCACACATAAAAGATGAATTACAAGGCTTGCAGCTTTTTCAGGTAGAGGATACGATGTCAAGGAGAGAAGTTTTAGGATTTATTCACACCATCTCACTAAATACATCTGAATTTTCACCCTATTTGAACCCTTCTGTCTTTACCCCTACACATCATTGCCAATATCTCTTTCCTCTCCTTTGAAAGATCCATGCTCTCCACACTGCTCATTTCAGGGCTAACTTAGGACAGTGTATCCTTCCCTGCATCCCAAGTAGAAGGACCAGTGTGAAAAATGGACTTCCTACACACTTCCAGAAGCTCCCCACCCTTATGGTAAGTGCTAAATTCCTGTGGTTTTGAGATGACAGTTCCATGCAACATTTGCAAATATGACAGCTTCACAGAAATAAAACAAGAAGCCACTTTGCTAATCTTTGTGTCTCCTACTTACACTTTGGTTCATATTCAAAATGAGTATAAACTTTCTTTTTCATGTAAATAGCTATCTGCAAGGCAATCAGAGTTGACTAATCATTCAAAATTAAGAAACAGATTTATAATACCCTAAGCAGTTCATTCTGTGATTTATCTCCCTCAAATTTCAACAGATGCATTAAAGGCGGGGGGGGGGGACCTCAGCAATAAAACTTTTAATCAGATGATGCTATGCTTTCAGAAAATATTTGAATATTTCAGCAAGACTGGACTTGCAAGAAAGGTACTTCAAAAAGAATTAGTCTTTACTCTGCAGAAGGCAATGATAATTCAGGAAAATATATAGGAAACTTTTAAATTCAAGTATTCCAAGATTGGTCTTGTCCTGACCTGCATATCTTCTAGTTGGCTTTCCAAAGACTTCTTTAACACCACCAATTCTTTTTCCTCTTTTCCAGCATGCTTCAAAGCTTCTTCTAATTGCTGCTTCTCTTCCTGGAATGATAGGATTTGATGCGTTCAGAAACAGCGGTAAAGCCTTTAATCAGACATCAGAAGGCCTACAGCAACCTGTGCCATTTAAGTAGTGCACGCAAATTTGCAAATACCTAGCAATACATTCACCGGCTTCCTTGTACTTCCCTTTTCCAGATAACCACTTGACAACTCTCACCTGTAAACTGACCTATAAACTAGGCTCATTGTTGCCTATCACATTTCCAAGCTGAGCCTTGCTTTTACACTGCTTTTCAGAGAAATCTCTTCTATATCTGCCAGTAAACTGCATCCCGCTTTTTCAAAACTAAGGCTCTGCTTAGCTTTCTAAACTCCACTGACCATCCATTTTTCAAGTTTTGTTTTTGTACAATGTATTGACCACATCACAAATAGCAAGACTACTTCAGAGGCTTCTTTTCTTAACATACCTCGTATCTCTTCATTTTTTCCTTCGCTGTAACTTCTTCCCCTTTCATATTATTGATTTGGCTGTCCATCTCTCTCATTTTACCCTCTAGCTCATCAACTGTTCTCTTCAGCTGTTCATTTTCCTCTGATAGCGCTTTGACTTGATTTTCTATACTATTTCGCATTTCTTCTGCAGCATTTCTTTCACTCTCAAGGACAGCAGCATTCTAGTGAAAATAAAATATGTAATGTTTAAAAAAACTCTGCAAAAATAACTCATAACTCCCCAGCACAAGTTTCACCACAACAAACATGAATAGAATGTAAGGTTAAATTGCCAAGAAATAATTTGTTAATGTTAAAATCTGCATATATTAGAAACCTGTATTCAGATTACTGGAGAGATTGAACAATAATTATTTTTTGTTCTCTCATACATAGGTACATGCTGAAGTAACACAAAATATCCGTACAGATTCCTGTCTTATCTGCAGATATGTTCTACCTCAACATATTCCTTTTTTATTGCCCTAGAGTATTTTCATTATTAAATCCCATTATTTTCAGGTAAGATAGCAGATATTAGGGACCATGTGAGCCTTCAGGGAGGCCAAACACCAAAGCACAGCCATTTACATCCACACAACTGTTTGTAGGCCTGCACAGTAAATCAGCTCTAAGAAACAGCAGGATTTATGTGTGTTTTGTTTGTTTGGTGGTTGTTTTCAAACCTTTCCCACCTCAAAGGGGAAGCAGGTGGATCCCCATCAGAAAAGTGCCACAGCACATTCCAAAACATGGTCTCAAACTACTGTGCAAAACCAGCATGTTCAGAGCAGACAGTGAATGGGGAGGAAAAGGCTGCAGAGGCTGGGAACGCCCTACAGTCGCTGTGGCGCAGCTCTATCTGCAGAGCGTTCACCCACCACTTGGGGCTCTACTTATTCAGAAGTTTCTGCTTGATTTTCACTTGCTGTTTGAGGATACAAGTTTAGCTACTGAGTTTGATTTGTTTTCAGGAAGATATGCTGTGTATGTTTTTTTCAAAAATGAAAATCAAAATACAAGACAAAGATGAAATTATCATCATATGTGATAAGAGACTTTTTGGCAGGGCAACTGACTGCAGCATGTAACTTTTCAGAGCTAACCATCACCTTAACCTCTCTAAACCTGCCCTACCACTTAAAAGGCTCTGCTTTTCCTTACAGTTCAATTTGACGCTTAAAAACTATTGTGGAACCCATGAAGGAAAGAATATTTATACTGATACACTGTTATACTGCTACACTAGAACACCGACTTCATATGTGCATGTAAACATTTATTTCCGTGGATTAAAGAGTTTAGATGCTCTAATCTCTGCTCTTCATTGACTTCAGTGAGAATTTCTTCCAAAGGAAAGCTACAATAAAACTTGTAGTTCTTGCTCCTCAGCATTCAGGATATAATCTGAAACAATCCTCTGTATGAGATCTAGTTCTCGCATACAGACCACTGCCTTCTGCACTGAGACCCTAAATAAAGTCAGCCCAGCAGAACTATCATGTGAATCAATCCAGATTAGATCATCTGCAACAGCGGGCTCAGCAGGTGCTTATGGAAGAAAGAATAGGAAGAACAACTATAGTACAAGACTTCTCCTATTGCACCCTTCAAGATCCTACTGCTTTTCCTGTTCAAATGCATCATCTACTAGTTTCTCCAAACCTTTTTTGAATTCATTTATACCTTTGGCCTCAACAGCATTTGGTGTTAAAGGGCAATTATCAATTACTTACTGGATGGTATTACTGGAAGCATACCATTTCTTTATATAAAACAAAAACAAAATAATTTGGTGTATCTTTGCAATTAACAATTTTGTAAAACATCTGATGGAAATATGAAAAGTTCTTTTCAGTTATGTTACTTGCATTGCAGTTCCCAATTCTCCCTTCCAAAACAGGCTTAAGCAACATTACACAAGAAGCTGTTTACAAACTGCTCACTCACTAGATTGTTTTCTAGCAAGCAACAGCTTTAAAAACATGCAAATTAGTTGGAGAGCAGTAACTCAAGAGAGCACTGGGACTGTCTATGGGGTCAACGAACTCATACAAAAAACACCTGGCAACATAAGCAGGTTGACAAGCTCTCGTTTTTGAAAATATTGGAAAAATGAGTTTTTTTTTTTTCCTGAACATATAAATGCTTTAAAAGCTCTGAAATAGAACTATGCGCATGCTTTAAATTTTCACTTTTCAATAGCAGTCATAGTCCTTTAATTTTTGCACTTTACATGCTACACAGTTTTACTAATTAGCAAACACTCCAGCAGTGGCTCCTTTTTGTCTTCTTTCCCAGTTCTGGGGCAGAGTGAAAGCAGCTGGG